CGGCGATGAACGCAAGATTGTATTAGCTGTCAAAATTGTTAAGTAAAATAGCTTATGCATGTCAAAATATTTACACGCGCAAGTCCCCCGATTCTGTAAAGTTGTTATTGAGAAAACACGCGTGATTCCCCCACTTTTCATAACACGAGTAAAACCCCCAAAAAGCACGCGTGAAAACACTTTTCCCCGCCAGCTGAGACTGCGGTCGCGATTGAGGCGTTCTCCAAGCAGGTTCAGGATCTCATGACCAAGTACGGCGCGGATGTCGTGTACAATGTCGACCAGACTGCAATCCAACACGAAGAAATCTCCAAGCGCACAGTCAACGATGCTGGCGCATCGACGGTCTAGGTCAAATGTAAAGATGGCGGCGAGAGGACAACAGCCATGCTCCTTGGTGACTCGCATGGGACAAAGTACCCCCTGTACTTCATCTTCAAGACCGCCGTGGTTGAGGATGTCGACATTCTCACGGAGGATGTCGCCTTGCGCAATGGCTTTGGCCCGAAGCTTTGGCCTAATATGCAGACTCTGATGGATTCCAGCCCAAGCAGGATCTATGGCAACCCAACTGCCTGGTGGAATGGAATGCTGTCGATTGAGTTTCTCCGCTTCCACTTCGGCTCCCGAGAAGACATGTCGAAGCGGATATTGATGGTGTGGGACTCCTTCTCTGGACATTTCACTGCCAGCGTGGGAGCCTATGCCGAGTCCATCAACGTCGAATTGATCAAGGTGCCGCCATCCTTTACGTTTGTATGCCAGCCTGCGGATGTGGCGTGGATGCGTCCGCTGAAGTCAAGACTTGACAGCGTTGGATCAAGCACATCAGCGAGTGTCTATGCTCCTATGTACCCGGCGTGTCAAAGCCAGCATCGTTGCGTCCAAGTCGCGGGGACATTGTGGCGTGGGTGGACGAGGCATGGGCTGACATTCCAAGAAGCACCATTGTTAGCGGGTTCACGAAGTGCAAACTCGTCTCTCCTGGGGTATCTATGTCATCTACTGCTGCCTTACTCATTGAAAGTGATGTGGATATGGATGACGCCCTCTTTGCTGCTCTAGTGGAACTTGACTTGGTTGAGATCGTAGAAGTGTAATTTCACAATTCGTAATGTCAATTGTCTTTCAGATGCGTCACTAAATTTAGGATACAATTAGGAGTGTGTACTTGTTTTGAAGAATTATCGTCCTATTTTAACAAACTGTTTCGCGTTAACAGAAACTGTAAATCAGTTTCTTAAATACTACTTTTGGAAACGAAATACCTTAAAACGTTATTGAATTCGGCCACATTCACGCACCATTTCGTCCGATTCGGTTTTACTCGATTCAAAACGCATACAAATCGCAAAAACACATACTCCCCACAACGCATTCGAATTGCCAATCAAAGTTAAAAACGCCGGATCAGAAACTGGCGATGCGCAACGGAGTACCACACTCAACATTGAGTCGTAAAGTACGGCACTACTATTGTAGCTACGTGCTTCAGCTATTTCACCAAGATTCGAATTTGTAGCTACTGTCCGTTTGGGCGAGACATTTAACTGAAATAACCGAGATATTTAATAGTAAAACGTCTTCCCCTGAGGATGGCTTGCACCATACAGTACGCAGAAGTTGGTACTAAGAGCATCCCCACCGGCTGATGTAAACATAGAGCTGAAAAGACCCGTTTATTGGGTGCGTGCTGTAACAGTAGTACATCACTTCACATCCAATCCACACCGGTTGGCGGAAATAGTAGTCCTGATGGAGCAAATTCGTGTTGGACGCCCGCTGGCGATTGAGGTTTTGGAGCTCTCGCCAGTGGAGAATCTAGTGCAGCACGGTTGGCATACATTCTATTGTCTGTAAGATTCATATTCATGCTGCCGGCGTGCTTCAGGACATCGGGATGGCATGCTTC